TGATTACCTTATCTGTTGAATTCAAGAAAATGTTCGTGATGTAGTTCAACACAATACAACAGAAATAAGAAACCACAAAGACAACCATAAAGATAAACACAGTACAAAAAAAAACTGCATATAAGAAAGAATGAGGAAAATAAAACATAACTGAGATAGTAAAGGTAATTTTATTCCAAATGAAAGATACCAGACACTTAGACTGACAAACATACCGGGTATTTACTTCACAACTCTTTAGACCAAAACTAACCCTCGAAAGAGACGACCGGTCCGTAGTATGAGAAATGACCAACACCACTTAGGAGTAATAAAGGCAAGTGAACCCCTCTACCTAGATTGTCGTCGAGACTAAGGTTGGTTGGGCCGGTTCTCTCCAAGAAATCTTGCTTGGTCCACTCTCTTCATCACAACCTTCCCTTATGTACGAAATGTGTCGCCAAAAGATACAAAAGATATGAAAGGGAGCTAAATGCCCTGATATTTTGGACACAAATGAAGCCCTCGCCGCGAAGACCAAAGTAGTCTAACTCCTCTGAATCCCCATCAACTCAAAGGGGGAAGGAGGCAGGAGATAATGTTGTTCAAGCAGACACCTCTCGCCAAAAGTCCAACTTGGGTCCCTTCCGATTAGGCCTAAGAATTCCTTCACTCCCTGAAGCCTCTGCTCGGAAAGCAGAATGTGGCCGTGAGCGAAAGGAATCTTTGCCCACACTTCCGCAAGGTTCTGGTTATCCATCATGATTGTAGACAGCCGAAACGAGCGGAAGCAAAACCCGTTGCCACCGGAGCTGTTCATGTTTTTCTCTCAAAACCTCGGGTAAGGAGGGATCGCTAGACGTAATGAACCCCATATGACCAACAACAACAGTCATATGTATGCATCGTCTTTCTGAGGCGGTGAGCTTAGCACCCCTCCAAAATTCCACCCCATCTGTTCGCAAGAAGGGTGGTCTCTGCTCAGACACTTAACTCGACTTTGGTAAGGTTCGATATCTGACTCGCAAAAAACCTCCCCTTCGATGCACGACTCACATAAAAGTTAAAATGGGGACTCCGAACTCAAGAAAACAAGGAAAAAGTAGAAACAATCGAGGGACGATGAGATAAGAGAAGACCGAAGGAAAGAAAGGAACCTAAAAGCTTGTAAAGTGAAAGAAGCGACCCCTTCTTCTATTTATAAGGCGACACGTAAAATGAAGTATCACAAAATAATAAGTGGCACACTAAACATCATTTAAAAATTTATTAAAATGTTGTTTTACTACGAATAACATTATTATAGGTCTCGAACGAAGTGTTTGATGCCAAGACCTCGGAGGGGACATGCCCCCTCAACTTCTGGAGAACCAATTCTTTGCCTAACCTAATATGATCTACCCGAGCAGCTTCACTATTGAACCTCACCATATTTGAAAACTCGCGGAGCACCTTGAGCTTGCACATCACCTCGATCAGCCCACCTTGAAGAGTGACAAGCTCCGCCCGCAGAGCCGCTACTTCAACATTCAGGTGAACGGATAGCTCCCACACGGGATTCACAGTCGAGCCCCCGACAACTCCCTCGCGTGGACCGACTGATGCCGCTAACTGTTTGATCTCGCTTGCCCACTGCTCTGTGATGCTGGGGCGGTGTTCCCCCTCTCCCTAGTTGCAGATCTATCGCGGGCGAGGGGTTGGGCAGTTGATGAACTGCCAGGGCCGACAGCGGTAGAAGCCCAACATCTACGACCTGAGGACCGACAACTGCAGCAGGAGCGGATTCCGCGACATCTTTCAACGTCCCACCGTCTTGGTGATCCTTTGACCTGGCCATTTCATTTATGAATCTTTCTATTGAAGAGAGAATCTTAAAGGCCCTCTCTCCCTCTTGTGGTGAGATACCCCCGCTTTCCTGTAGTAGTGACGAAGGAAGGATCGTGACAATCACTCCTTGCAACTTCTTTTAGCTTGCTTCAGTTGTAAAGATCCACTAGCCCTTGACGTTCGTGCCCAGACCAATCTCCAAAGCCTCTTACTGAACCCTCACCGACTGACCTTCAGCGTCATCAGATGAGTCGATTACGTCGACCAAATTAGGCTCGGCCCTCGCTCATCACCATTTTCCTTTTTGCTGAGGAAGAGGCCTGAAAACCCGCCTTCGACAGCTTTTCAGGATCCACAATGAACCAATTCGAACTAGCAGCCATAACACTCTTAAGCTATACAAAGAGAAGCTGTCGACAAATAATACAAGACTCAGTTCATGCCCGTTTATAGAGCACACGAAGCACAAAATCCTAAGGGAAGTTAAATGTTTAATCGATCAATGAATTTAATGCTAACAATTGTTTAGTAATTTTCTTTATTGTTATTATAGTTGTCGCTATTTAAAAACAGAAAAACTCGGGGAACTAATATGTATACACCATAGATATCAGCGTGAATCTCAAAGCTACTATATTGTCTAAATAATGGTCGAACGTACGAAGCATTCGACTAATTAACTACTGATCACACTGCAGGATAAACCGACGCGCTATGACAAAGTGTTCGGTCAATGGGTCATAACAACAGCCTCGACTGCTCGAAATGCATACAAGAGCGCCCAATCACAGTTGGTCAACTGCCCATGACGAGCGAGATCGTCATACAACCGAGTGCCTCGATCGACCGAAACGCGCTTCAGAAGGCATAGTCTCCACTCGACCGGTCACCTCAATCGGCCAAACTCAAACTAGTTGGCCAAGCTAATTACCGTCATATTAAAAATTTAAATTGTAATACAAATATGGTATAAAATCTGTATGTCTTTATAATTAATTAGAGTATTATTCATATTAAGAACGATTTTCATACCAATTCACTCCTTGTAATTATACAAATTACACTCTTATAAAAAGGAGAATAAAAGGAGAATAAAGGGGGTAGACAACGCTAGCCTATGGAAACAATCATATTGCAGGTCAGGTTAGCCTATGAAAACAACTCTAGCATCAAATAGATGGTTTGATCGGTGAGTTGTTGAACCGGTCCCGATTTTTATAGAACCGCCCAATCTAATGACCGCCAACAAATGAAATTTGTAAAGTTGAAAATGCAATATTTTTATTTATAAGTCTTGTTAACAATATTTTAAAAATCTCATATCTGATGACAAATCTTGGCCTCAAAGCAAACCAAGTACTATACTTCAATTATAAATATATCATAAACGTTTTTAAATTGTAAATAAATATTTCTTACATATTACATCATTATCACATCATTTTAAGTAACAATACTAATAATAAATTGGAGCATTTACATGCATACCGCTCAATTTCTATGTATTTGTATGTCTGGCCCCTAAACTTTATTTTTCTTACTTTCATATCTTCTAAATATTTCATATCACATAAAAAATGTCACTATTTTAATTTCTAAAAATTGAAGCTCTTACATTCCTACTGTGTGAATCGCAGATCCTTCATCTCCGATTGTCGCGATCGAGGGGACTGTTGCTATGTCGAAGGCCTGAATCTATACTGACGTCAATGTGATTCATCCCAAAGAGTACTCAGGTGTGAGCCTAGGCTCAGTCCGTGTTCTGTTCATTTATATTACGAGCTCAAAAACGTGTTCGTACTGGCTCATTTGCTTTCACGATTGACAACCCTAATCATATAGTCATAAGATGTTAAGAATTGGGGCAAGATTTAAAACATCATTTGAATCTGATGTAATAATTTTTATTCTATTTTCTTAATTAATACTTTTAATTGATTATAAATCTTTATATCCTTGTGGTTAATTAAACTTTTTAAAAATACCACTTATCAAAGATACACACACACTATATATATATATAATTGATTAGTAATATTTTGAGTCAAAACAAATCAAAAATGATCGAACAAATATTTGTTTGTGTTATTCGTGTTTGACTCATTAACTTAACGAACGAACTATTCTCGAACACGTGTTTTTAATGAACAGAGCACGAGCTGTTCTCGAACAACGAGCAGTTTTAACAGCCCTATAAATACATGATAATTGGCGCCCACGAACAGATCATATAAATTGACTTTTTAGGCCATTTAATTCCTGAGAACAACTCAATAGCCACCTCATCACCGACTCGCGGTGCATCCTTTGACCGTCGCTCGAGGTCAAAATCATGCAGTTTTTCTTTTATATTTTTCAAATGGGGGAAGTCAGCATCATGTAGTTAGGCGAGGAATACAAAACTAATTAGGGATAATTATCCACAGACCATCTGAAATATTATATTTATAATTTAACCATCTCGGTGATTTTTTGTTAACCACCAAATCAATATATTTACGAGTATCACAATCAAATTAATTGAAAATTTAATAAAAATGAAGCATTTACAACTTAACACCCAATTTTTATATATTTACATATATATAATACTAAACTTTCACTTTTACATTTATAACACTCAAATTATTAACCGTCCTAGCTTCCAAACACAACCCGCTATAACTCAATCAAGAAAAAAAATACAATGAATGATTAAGGGTGTTTTTGGGGCAGCTTGTACGTTTTAAGTAAGCAGCTTGATATGAAATGCAGCTCGCAATCGAGCCGCGGGTTTTGACCTGCGGTCTGCGTTTTTGGATAAACGGACAAAACATGCGTTCCAAACGGTATCTCGATGTTTTCAAAAACATTCATGCACTTATAAGTCGCCCCAAACATTACCTAAAAAAAAAAGAAAAAAAACGTGATTTTCCATTTTGTAAGCTAAATTCTGACAGAATGAACCCAAAAAAAAAAAAAAACCCTGATTAAATGGTTTAGATGATTGTCGAGCTTTTATATATCAAATTAGATGAAAACGCTTTTCATTCTCAACAAACGATGGAGCAGCTTTCTGTAAAGCTAGAAGTTACGGAAAACAACTTTTTCAATTATTACATCACCTACCTTCGGTAGCCTTCGCACCGCCGCT